CGGGGGGGGGCGCGGCAAGCGGCAGCTCTCTGTCGCCTCAGGCCGTGGGAGGAGGGCAACCACAGAAAAGTTCAGCCATGAGGAACTAAGGCGCCTCCTTGGATTCCTTAAACAACACTTCGTGGTGCGGCAGAAGCGAAAGCTGGGGAGTTTCCAGTCTTATGAAGCGGACTAAGAAAGGGGGCGTAAAGGAAGATGTATGGCAGGCCCTTGTTTCTGGAGGGCAGCCACCGCGTCCCGTTGGCTTCCTCGGCTGGTAGAACCGGGGCTGATGGATCGTCAAGACCCCCCAGCGGGGTGCCATCACGAGCGGAGTCCAGCGAAGCCTCAACCCTTCCCTGCTCTCCGCAGGCGGATCCGAGAGGGCTCTCCCTACGGGCACCTCCCCAACTGGCATCTCCTCTCCATGATCGTCAAGTGCGGGGATGACCTCCGGCAAGAGCTGCTCGCTTTCCAAGTTCTCAAGCAGCTGCAGGTAGGCAGGGAAGGAAGGAGGGAAGGAGAGAAAGAGGGAAGGAAGGAGGGAAGCCAGCCAGCCAGCCAGCCACTGGAGGGACTGTCTCCCCACAGGTGTGATGGGTCGAGGGGGTTCAAATCCACCTGCCTTTGGAATTAAGAACAGGCAGGGGGCAAAGATCACGCCTCCGATTCGCCATCGTTTGCGTCGGGGGCTCCAGCCGGGCTCCGTGGCAACGCCTGCCCTCCCGTCTTCTCTTTCAGTCCATCTGGGAGCAGGAGCGGGTCCCCTTGTGGATCAAGCCCTACAAAATCCTCGTCATCTCGGCCGACAGCGGCATGATCGAGCCAGTGGTCAACGCCGTCTCCATCCACCAGGTCAAGAAGCAGTCCCAGCTCTCGCTGCTGGACTTCTTCCTGCAGGAGCACGGCCAATACACCACCGAGGGCTTCCTGACCGCCCAGCGCAACTTCGTGCAGAGCTGTGCGGGCTACTGCCTCGTCTGCTACCTGCTGCAGGTGAAAGACAGGTAAGGCTCGGAGGGCAGGGGCGCTCGGCCTTTACGGGGCCAGGAGGCTCTTCCTCCGCGCGAGGCGAAGACGGAGGCCCTCTGGATCCTGCGCACGTCCTAAGTGCTTCTGTTTAAAATCTTTCATGAAGGAGACGGCTTCGCGCTTCAACTCGCACGAGCGGGGCAGGACTGGACTCCGTCTACCAGGAGAGGAAAAAGCCTTGCAAAAAGCAAGACGCCTGATTCTTTTTCCTCCTTCTCCCCCCACCCCAGGCACAACGGCAACATCTTACTAGACGCATATGGGCACATCATCCACATAGACTTCGGGTTTATCCTCTCTAGTTCTCCCCGGAACCTGGGTTTCGAAACCTCGGCCTTCAAACTCACCACCGAGTTTGTTGACGTAAGTTGCGCGGCGGGCAAGAAGTGAAATACGAGAAGAGAAGCCTCGAGGGGAGGCAGCGTTCCCCACCCGCACCCGCACCCCTCTGGATTTTTCGGGACTGTAAGTCCAGGAAGGGGGAATGGTAGTCCGGGCATGCGCAGAGGGCGGGGAGGCAGATTCAACGGGCAACGGAACAAGCCCCTTACGCTTCTCGGCAGCCTGTTTTGTTCCAAAGGAGCGCACTGAAGGCCGTGGTGCCTTCGACGCATAATCTGCGGGCCTCTTTTTCTAAACGCATTGAGGATTCCTCGGATCCTCCTCCCTGCTCCCCCCCGTGGGGCGTGCGTCTTCCTGCGTCGCAATGCGCGTCTTCCTCCCGTCTCCCCTCAGGTGATGGGCGGCATAGGCGGGGACATGTTCAACTACTACAAAATGCTGATGCTGCAGGGCCTCATCGCGGCCCGCAAGCACATGGACAAGGTGGTGCAGATCGTGGAGATCATGCAGCAAGGTAGGAGGAGGCCCTCTCGCTCGGAGCCACGGAAGGGGGGGCGTGGGCGCAGCCTGCCCCTCCTGGCGGCTGACTGGCGCATGCCGCCCGTTCTTCTGGCAGGTTCTCAACTGCCCTGCTTCCACGGCTCCAGCACCATCCGGAACCTGAAGGAGCGTTTCCACATGAACATGACGGAGGAGCAGCTCCAGCTGCTGATCGAGCAGCTGGTGGATGGGAGCATGCGCTCCATCACCACCAAGCTGTATGACGGCTTCCAGTACCTCACCAATGGCATCATGTGACGGCCAGCCGCGCCGGCCTCCCCCTCCGGAACCGGACCTTCCCCCCGCGGGGCCCCCCCCCCCCCCCCCCCCCCCCCCCCCCC